CGAAGACCCAAAGATCATTGGACAATCCGAAGCCCTATCCGAAGTAACTATAGCAATATTAGAACCGATCCAAGTATCGAACTCCGACGTTCATAGAACCAGCGCTCGTCCAGAGGACCCAGTGCCAACCAACTGGCATTCACGATTCTACCTACAACGAATCACCCGCCCGAAGTACCGACCACTTGCTTAGGTAGAGCCTAGTCCGCCGTCGGAAGACTAGCCGCCCATCAAGAAGCGCAATACGGAAAACAACCTTCGGAGCGTCCCATACCGAGTGGTCGAGCGGAGGTCATAAATCCGCTAGTCACGACCTGCTGATTGGTTCGCAACACAATAAAATGTGGCTAGCCAGATCATATTTCTTAACGACTCCTTTTACAGTCTTACTAGCATCCAGATCCAGTGGAAACCAACCGACATTGCTAAAAAAATACAAAACACATTAGAGCCACCCTCGCAGGTAAAAACATATCATAATATGTGTGGATACCCGCATATTGTAATATCATTGATTATATAATCAATAGTAATATAGAGGACAACTAACGTACCGACAAGGCCGCCAAACTTGCCCATTTATCCAATAACTTTCTCACATCCCCAGACTTCTCATACCAGGACATTAAAAGAATTATAGCCAAAGACACTCTCGAACAATGGGAAAACATATGGTTAAATTTGTCAACCAAATTACACAAGATCATAAGAACCACCTATCTTTGGCCTTTCCCTGACATCACCACGAAACAGGAGACCTCCATCATCCGTCTTAGGATAGGACATACCCACATCATTCGCCAACACCTCATGAAGAGAGAAGAACATCCCGTTTGCATCTGAAGGGGCATCCCCCTAACTGTCAAACATATCAATTATCTATGTTTAAACATTTTCAGGGCTGCAACTCAAAAAATGAAAAAAGTTACGAATTGTTTTTTTTTAGATGACTAAAAGTGACTATTTTAATTAGCACAAGCAATGCAAAAAAACTGTGTATTTGAATGCTTTTGCCCCCTACGTTGAAATGTTATTATAATAAGAATCATCTTTTAAGAGCCACGTATCTTAAACTGTACACCCATGATCGGGATAAAAATATGGTTTAATATGATACACACCAATATAAAAAAAAAAAACCATACAGTAATAATATACTTGACAAATTGGAAATGTTAACAGTGTAAAAACCACTTAAAAGTTTAATAACAAAATATAAAGTTTTCTATAAAATAAACTAGAGAAGATTACAACTAATCTTGATAATATATTCATAAATATAGTGGCACACAACAGTGTTCAATGCATCCATAGGCCACTGGTCAGTGGTCATACAATATAACCAGCAAATCGTTTTCTTTTTATAATCTCTACAACAACCACAGAATAGGTGGACACTCTCCAAACCTATTCTGTGGTAAAATCAAGGACTAAGATATTATAGTTAGTATACTATGAATCTTAGTCCATGGAAAATAAACGAACAGAATTTTAAAAATTTCAGTTTTTATCTCAAAACATTATAATAAACAGCTATAAGAGAGAAAAGTGACAGTTTACGAAATATACGACAAAACGTATCAAAAAGTGAGAAAAATGAAATAGTTGCAACTCTGCATTTTGTTTCAAAATTTTTATAAATTTCTTAATTGAAGTGTTCTAACTTTTCTTCATTCAATTATTTATATACTTATTTTATTTTTATTTTATTTTTTATTTTATTTTACAATACGGGACGAACCCTATAATACATGAAAATAGTAGTATAATAATAATAGAAAAAATAGTTTGATTATGGAAACGAGGCTCAATTTAGAGTGAGAATGAAGGGTCAGTGTTGGCAATGCGCATAAGACGGATGATCGGTGAGTTAAGATAGTAGTTTGAGGAAGAGAAAGGAATATTAAATGGAACAGATGATCGTGTACTTCGGGAGGGAACATTAAATGAGACACGGGATAGTGATTCAGGACTGTCAATTTTAGAGGAAAGAAGATTAGAAAGAAATGTTAAGTTGGCTGAATGACGAAAATCGGCGGGACTTTCTAAGGAAAAAAGGCGTTGGATTGGCGTGTAATCGTGAGGTGGGCAGAATATGTTTAATTTGAAAGCAACATGACGGAGGAATTTTCTTTGAACCCTTTCTATCATGCTACGTGCAGAAGCGGTGGATGGGTCCCAGAGGATGGTACCATATTCAAGGATGGGACGGACTAAGGAACAAAAAAGAGTTTTTAGTGGTGTGATTAAGTGATAGTCTGTGGAGATACGGTTTATGAAACCTAGCAGTTTAAGAGCCTTACAACAGATTAACTGAATGTGCATATTAGGGCACAGGTTCCGAGTAAGAGTGAATCCTAAATCTTTTATATAATTATTACAAGTTGTTAAGGGGGTATTGTTTACAGAGTAAGTATGCTTAATTACGGCATTAATACGACAAAAAGTCATTACTGAGCATTTAGTAATATTAAGAGCTAGCCCCAAAGATGCGCCCCATGTTACTAATCGCTGAAGGTCGTTTTGAAGAAGGTGACAGTCAGAGATGGATTTTATGCGGAAAAATATTTTCATATCATCAGCAAATATAAGAAGTTTAGCATGCTGGAGGACGGAGGTGGCTGAGTTTACGAATAGGGCAAATAGAAGTGGAGAAAGAACAGCACCTTGTGGTACACCTGAGGAAGGGGTAAAGTGGTCAGACGAGGTGGAATCAACAGTTACCCATTGTATCCTATTTGTGATGTAAGAGTGAAGCCAGGATAGTAGAGGTTCGTCGATGCCTATAGAGTCTAGTGTTGACATAAGATGATTATGATCAACACGATCGAAAGCCTTGGAAAAATCTGTATAGATTACATCTACTTGGCAGTTATCGCGAAAAGCATCATATATATATGAATGAAGACTAAGGTTACAAGTAACAGTTGATCTACCAGGATGGAAGCCATGTTGCTCATCAATTAGGATATGATTCAAGGAAGGGCGAATTGCGTTAAGGACAAGCGTTTCAAATAATTTGGATAAATGTGAGAGGATAGTTATTGGACGATAGTTAGAAACATCAGTAGAATCACCAGCTTTAAATATGGGTCTAATTGAGCCAAGTTTTAGAGCAGATGGAAAGATACCTGAGTCAATAGAACGCCTAAACAATAACTACAATGGCTCTACTAGAACAGATCGAAGTTTGTACAAGAAATCACCCTGGATACCATCTGGACCAACAGATTTTATATTGCGAAGGGAACATAAGCATTTGTAGACGTCACTAATCGAAAAATAGGCATTAGACGGGAGTGGAAAGTGGGAGGTAGGATGTAATGTTTGGAATGGAGTCGGTGAAGGCTGGGTGAACACAGAAGAAAAATATGTAGCAAAAAGGTTAGTTGTGTCGGAAAGAGATGTACTCCGTATACCATTGAGTGTGACAATTGAAGGTATAGATTGAGAAGAGCGGTTTTTTTCTAATGAAACTCCAAAAATAACGTGGGTTGCTTAATAAGGAGGACTCGGTACGAGAGACAAAATTACGGTAGCATTGTCTGGAGATGAATTTAAATTTAGCGCGAAGAAGTGAAAAATGCTTGTAATCTGATAATAGCTGGGATGACTTAAATTTACCATGAGCGCGAGACTTAGCAAACACTAGTTCTTTGAGCTCCTTAGTGTACCATGACAGGAAAGTGGAAGGGCGAAAAGAGATTTTAGGAACAAAAGATAAAATTGAATAATGGAGAGCATCAAGGAAGACAGACATGAAATCATCAGGGGAGTATGATAGAAAGGTACGTTTCCAATTGAAATAGTTAAAAAATTTAGTGATCTGTATGTAGTCTGCCTTGCTAAAGTTATAAAATAATTTGAGGGGAGCAGATTGAGGAGCAAGGATGGGGAGATTTATAGAGAGAGAAAGAGATGGATGGTAAGTGTCGGCAGGCACGGCTGTATCAAGAGCTTGTTTAACAGTTATGGAGCTAAGGTTAGCTATGAGATCGAGAAGAGAGTGGTGAGAATTTAATATGTAATTATGTTGGAAGAATCCGATGGATACTTATATATATATATATAATATACCTATTCTATATATATAAAACTGAAATCAAGCAAAAGAGGAAATCTTTGTGACGGTTTATTTCCAATTATCATGCAGTTTTTTTTTAATGAAAGAGGATATCACGGAGAAGGTTTTAGGCATAAATAAAGTCCGATAATGTTAGTCAATAATTAGTTATCTATACATATAAAACCCAAATACCACTGACTCACTGATCGCTATATCTCAAAAACTACTCAACGTACGGACTTCAAATTTGGAATAGAGGTGCTTCTCATATTTTCACCGTGCCAGAAGAAAGGATTTTCAAAAATGTTGCTTTTTAGTGGAGTAATTAACGATTATAATTATTCACCGCCAATACGTATTGTGCGGCACGGCGGTCTGCGGGTTTCCAGCTGCCTCCAACCTATCCTTTTTGTTCGTCGTCGTCTTCGTGTAGATAAGAATAATGATTCCGAGATTAAAATTGTTCAGAGAAGTTTATCAATAAAAATAATCTCATGCATCGCGCGTACACCAATACTCCTATCCTACTAATATTATAAAAGCGAAAGTTTGTGACTTTGTTACTCTTTCACTTAAAAACAACTGGACAGATCTTGATGAAATTGTTACACTGTGTGTATTTTGATCCAACTTAAGACATAGGCTAATTTAAAAAGGGAGAGGACAAACCCCGGGAGGTGCTCAAACGGGAATTTTGAGATTTTAGATGGAAATTGTTGTTTGTAAATGGTTGCCATGTGTGATAAGATAATAGTCTTACTAAAACTAACCTATAAAGTTAATCATATATACTCTTATCTAATATACTGTAGCTCTGTACTTCCATATATTATAACATGTGTACACTAATAATTATGTTTATTAAAGCCTACTTTACTAAGGTTCTCTCGTCTAATTATTATACAACAATTTAATAAACATAATTATTCTTTCAATGGAAAAGTTACTGCGCCCTGATCGTTTCGAGACTGATCCTAATTCCCCAACATCAGCAAAAGAATGGGCTCACTGGATCACAACATTCAATAATTTTGTCGAAGTATCAAAAGTAAAGGAGGAAGACAAACTCAAGGTACTCACTAACTTTTTAGGACACTCAGTATATGACAGTGTCAGCGAATGTACAACGTACGGAGCAGCTATCAAAATATTGACTGATATCTACATCAAACAAAAAAATGAGATCTTTTCTCGGCATTTGTTAGCCACAAGAAAACAGCAAATGAATGAATCTATTGATCAATACCTTGGATTTTTAAAAATCTTATCTAAGGAATGTGCTTTTAAATCCGTTTCGGCCATCGAATACAGAGATGAATATATTCGAGATTCTTTTATCAATGGTCTTTTGTCTAACAATATTCGTCAACGCTTATTGGAGAACAACACATTGAAATTAGAGGAAGCTGTAACTCGGTCTCGGGCATTGGAAATGGCTCAAAAGCAATCTGAAGTGTATAGCATGCCTCTGACTCAAGGATCTGTGAACGCTCTAACCGAGGATACTACTTCAATGATCAAACCTGATAATAATCAACCAACAGTATCAGCGATACAACAAAAATGTTACTTTTGTGGCTATGACAAACATCCTCGCAGCTCTTGCCCAGCCAGAGATGCTGTATGTAAAAAATGTGACAAGAAGGGACACTTTTTGAAGGTATGTAGATCAAAAACAAAATCCGATAGCGCATTTGTGTCCATGGCTACTCTAGCTTGTGTAACTGCAACTGTACCAGGTCTCTTGTCTAAAGCTATTATTAGAGTAAAAATAAACAACATTGATGCAAATACTCTTATTGATACTGGTAGCTCTAATAGTTTTATTAATGAAGAATTTGTCCAAATTCACAAAATAAAATCATATCCAGAAAACGGACAGGTACTTCTGGCGACAACTACCTATTCATCAAACCTAAAAGGTTATGTTCTTGTTGACTTACTGTTACAAGAACACACTTACAAAAATCTCAAACTATCTATACTCCCTAAATTATGCTCAGATATTTTAATAGGTCATGATGTACTAAGAACTCACTCTAGTATTGACCTTACATTCGGGGGACCAAAACCACCATTATCAATTTGTAATATGACTTTTGTAAATATAGAGCCACCTCGACTCTTCAATAATGTTGTTAAAGACTGTAAGCCAATAGCAGTTAAGTCACGTCGCTATTCGGATGAAGATGCTAAATTTATAAGGGAGGATGTCACTAAATTATTGTACGATAATATAATTGAAGAAAGTACTTCGCCCTGGCGAGCTCAGGTTTTAATCACTAAAAGTGAAAATCGTAAAAGGCGCATGGTTATAGATTACTCACAGACAATAAACAAATTCACTCTAATGGACGCTTTTCCCTTACCCAATATCGATGAACTAGTCTCTAAGGTCGCGCAGCATACCATCTACAGTACCATAGACCTGCGCAGTGCTTACCAGATCCCCATACACGAAGATAAACGTCAATATACAGCATTTGAAGCAGGAGGTCGATTGTACCAATTCAGAAAAATTCCATTTGGTGTAACTAATGGAGTGGCCTGTTTTCAGAGAGTAATAGATACTATAATATCCCAAGAAAATCTTGATGGAGTCTATGCGTACCTCGATGACATAACTATTTGTGGAAATAATCAAACTGAACATGATTTAAACTTAAACAAGTTTCTTACTATAATAAAGAAATATGGACTCATATTGAATGAGGACAAATGTCAGTTCTCGAAATGTGAAATCTCACTACTTGGTCACCACATTAGCAACAAGCGTATAAGTCCAGACCCTGAAAGATTAAAACCACTGTTGAATCTACCACAACCTAAGGATGACTCATCATTGAAACGAGTACTAGGTATGTTCTCCCATTACTCTAAATGGATTCAAGGTTTCTCTGACAAAATCCGCAATTTGGTAGACTGCGAATCATTCCCTATGTCACCTATAGCAGCAGCTGATTTTGAACGCATAAAACAGGATATTGCTAAATCAGTGGTAAATTCAATTAATAGTGAAGAACTGCTGGTAGTGGAGAGTGATGCATCTGATTTTGCTCTAGCCGCAACTCTAAGTCAGAGTGGTCGGCCTGTGGCATTTTTCTCAAGGAGTCTCACTGAAGGTGAAAAAAGACACCCATCTGTAGAAAAGGAAGCATATGCAATCGTAGAGGCTGTGAGAAAGTGGAGGCACTTTCTTATTGGAAGACATTTCAAGCTAATAACAGATCAGGAAGCGGTCTCGTTTATGTTCAATCTAAAACATTCCAGCAAGATAAAAAGTGACAAGATAACAAGATGGCGACTTGAGCTCTCATCTTTCAGTTACGACATAGTATACCGCCCTGGTAAGGAAAATACGGTAGCGGATGCTTTCTCAAGAGCCTGTGCAAACATTAATAATCCAAGTAAGCTTTTTGACCTTCACAAAGCATTGTCACAATGGTATGACTAGAATGTACCATTGGACTAGAAGTAAGAATCTACCATTTACTGTTGATGATATTAAAAGGGTAACCACAACTTGTCCTATATGCGCTGAAGTTAAACCCAAATTCTTTAAACAGGAGGGAAACCATCTTATCAAAGCTACTTCGCCTTTTGAACGGTTGAATATAGATTTTAAAGGCCCACTACCAGGGTTGGGCAGTATCAAAGATACATGTATCAAAGATACGTATCAAAGATACAATTGTATCTTGTATCTTGTATCATGATACATAATTTTACAGTATCAAGTATCATGTATCTTGATACATTTTATACTAGTATCATGTATCTTTTTTTGCCAAAAGATACAAGATACTATTATTGTAAAAATAATTTCGTCGCGGATTGTATTTGTACGAAAAATATTGTCCAGGTGCAATCCAGCCGAAATATTAACGATAGCGAAAAAATGTACCACACAATCTTATAAATTTAAGATAATCTGATAAACATAAAATTAAATTAAGGCGCCCGTATGACCGTAGCCCACACGCAGACCGTGTCAATAATCAATAGTCTCATAAAATATGAATCCGCTGCCTAGATATGAGTGTAACCGTTTAGGTATTTCCACATAAAATAGAAAATAAAATCAAAAGTAAAGATAAGCAATTACAGAATACTATTCACGTTGTTGTACCATTCTATTCGTTCTGTCGTCTATAGTGTTACTGTGTCACTGTGTCAACTGCCCGTTTACGATTTTTTTCATAATATTTTATTAACATTGATTTTTGATTTTTTTTAATGGATTTTTTTACTGAACAAAATATTAATATTCCACCATCATTGAATGGAACATTTTTTAAAATTGTGTCTCACGAGCAAAACGGGTCAGACTACACTATAAAAGCATTATGTACGACATGCCAAGATGTCAAAAAGGAAAATAAAATACTTTCTGGCTCTCTTAAATTCACCACAAATTTTCGACTTCATATAAAAGTAATGTATTATTATATTATATATTAACATATATATTATATAGGTATATATACAATTTTTTATTTATTTTATTATAAATTCATTTTTAGAGAGTTCATTTTGAAAAATTGACATTATACGACGAGCATATTAAACAAAATGCAACTAGCAACCATGGGCGTAAGAGACCATTAGACCAGTCGTCGAGCGTAGATTTATGTCCACTTAAACAACCAAAAATAAGCTATTTTAATAAACAAGACAAACAACGGGAACTAGATAAAAATATAATGCGTTATATTGTTTTGGGTATGAGGCCTTTGTCTACCGTTGAAGATGACAATTTTATAAAAATAATAAAAGGTAAATTATTTACTTAATATTCAAATATTAGGAATATAAATAAATATATAAATAAATATAAATAATTAGGCATAGACAATGACTTGCAAGTTTATTCGAGAAGAACACTAAGTCGTCGTATTAACGATGATTTTATAAATGTTATTGACAAAATTAAAAATGTGTTTACAACTGAACCACGAACACTTATAACTACAACAGCGGATATTTGGTCAACAAAACATCGAAGTTTTATGGGCGTCACAGCACACTGGGTACTAATTAAATAATATCTATTATAAAAATTATTTGTTTTTAAATTACGTAATAAATGTGCCTAATTATTTATTTATTTTTTTTTTAGATTTCTGCAAACACATTGGAACGCGGCAACTGTGTACTTTCCTGCAAACGAATGAATGGTAAACATTCATACGATCGTATAGCAGAATTATTGCAGGACACTTTTAATGAGTATTCACTTCTTCGTGAACAAATTGTTTCAACCGTAACTGATAATGGATCTAATTTTGTAAAGGCATTCAAAGAGTTTGGATATGACATTCAAGACCATATGACGGATGATATGGATCTTGACGATGAAGGTTTTATTTTTATCGATATTTATAATAATAATAATAATAATTATTATTACTATTATTATTATTATTATTATTATTATTATTATTGTCGTTGTTTTTATTTTTATTCAGAAGGGGAAGAAACTTTACATTTTCAAGTTATTGCAGTGGATGAAGATGTTGAAAGTAACGAGCAGGCAATATTTCTTCCTCGTCATTTACGATGTGCTAGCCACACACTTAGCCTGATAGCAACTACAGATTTTTCAAAAGCAGTAAAAAATTCAACAGTTAGTAGACTACATAATGGAGCTATTGGTAAATGTACTACATTGTGGAATATGTCTAGGCGACCGAAATCTTCGGAAATCATACACAATTTATTAGGTTGTTCACTTTTTTATCCATGTCCAACGAGGTGGAATTCTTTGTACGACGCGCTGAGTCAACTATTAAAGTTTAAGGACAAACTAAATATACTTTTCCAACATTTAAATGTCAATTCTAGCTTTAAAGACATAGAGTTAGTATATTTAGATGAATTAATAATTTTACTAAAACCAATAGCTTGCGCCTTGGATTGTTTGCAAGCTCAAAATAATTGTTTCTACGGAATCTTAGTACCATCATTGTTTTCTTTAAAATCCCGATTAGAAAATTTAAAAGAAAACAATTTTAAATATTGCGCTTTTTTAATTACACCTTTGATTAGCTCTCTTACAAAAAGGTTTAATTTATTTTTTGAACTATCTCCTGAAATTAATGAAGCTATTCTAGCAACATGTTTCCATCCAAATTTTAAACTAAGGTGGATTCCAGATTACATTAGTGATCACGAAAAAAAAATAATACAGAATTTGTGTATAAATGCTACAGAACAAATTATTAATGAATGTAGTAACCATGAATCCAGTAGAGATTCTGAAGACGGTTTTTTTTATATTTTCTTCTCAGGTTGAAAATAAACAGCAATCACAGAATGAACTTGAATTAATAACTTATTTTAACGACAATAACAAATCATTAAACTGTTTAAATAATTATCCATCAATAAAAAAACTATTTATAAAATATAACACAAGTCTATGTTCATCTGCTCCCGTTGAGCGTTTATTTTCATTTGCTAGTTTTGTGCACTCACCAAGTAGATCTAATCTATCCGACCACATGTTTGAAAAATTAATTTTCCTTAAAGGTAACCAAGATTTTATTTATAAAAAAAACATTTAATTTAAACTAACCATAACTTGCATAACTATTAACTATTAAGTCCATAAGACCATAAAAAATTTCATTTATTTATTTATTTTTGACCATAAGTCCATAGACCATAACCAATTTTATTATACACATAAAGCAACTATATATAAGTATAAATTAAGATGTAATTGTTATGCACTTTCTTAATTTTGGTGTATTTATATTATAAATGTGATGTATTAGTTATAAATGTATAATGTGTACCTATTGACTTATTATATTATAATGTGTACAGTGTACCTATTGACTTATTATATTATTTGATATAATTATGACTTTATAAGTATTTATAAATACTATTATTATGTAGGTATAATAATAATATTATGTATTTATTATGTATAGACGGTATAGTGAATTGTGTATAGACGTTTTACGTTTAATAATTAATAAAATTTGATTGGAAATATAAAAGTATCATGTATCTTTGATGTATCAAAGATACATGTATCTTGTATCTTGTATCTTTTCTACATTCACAATGTATCTTGTATCTTGATACACAAAATGTATGTATCATGTATCATGTATCATGATACTTTTTTTTGAGTATCTTGCCCAACCCTGCCCACTACCCTCTAATACAAGCAATCATTATATCCTTACAATAGTAGATGAATATTCTCGCTTCCCATTTGCAGTTCCATGCCGGGACATTAGTTCAACTACTGTGATAAATAGTTTGTGGCAGTTATTCTCCATATTTGGTATGCCGGCTTACATTCATTCTGATCGCGGTTCATCTTTTATGTCACAAGAACTCACAACTTTTTTGCACAACCATGGAATAGCCACCAGTCGTACGACACCTTACAATCCGGAGGGAAACGGACAAGCAGAACGATATAATGGGATTATTTGGAAAGCCGTCCAATTGGCCCAGCAAACACAAAGACTTAAAATAACTCAGTGGGAAGAAGTGCTAACAGATGCCCTACATTCTATAAGATCTCTGCTTTGTACAGCTATAAACTGTACCCCACATGAACGCTTCTTCCATTATCCTCGTCGTTCTTCAAATGGGAAAACTCTCCCTTCATGGCTTAACTGCCCTGGTCCAGTACTCATCAGAAAACATGTAAAATCATCAAAGTACGATCCACTGGTGGAAGAAGCTAAATTGATAGAGGCTAATCCCGAGTATGCTTTGGTGCGTTATAACAATGGACGTGAATCTACAGTGTCTCTGAAAGACCTGGCACCTCCAGGGGATAGAGGTCTGTTGGGAGAAAAGAGAGACAGAGAACATAGTATTAAACCATCAAGCTTGGAAGCTCCTGCATACGATTGTGGTAAAGAGAATAAAGATATTGTTATTGAAGAACCTACCCAGATGAATGAAGGGCTAAGCAAGACATTAAGTGATGTTGAAGAACCTAGAAGGTCTACAAGAACCAAAAATAAACCAAAGTATTTAGAAGATTATAAAACTAATTAATTAATTATTTATTTGTATTTGTAATTATTTATTTTATTGTTATTTGTTACCTAATAGTTAATTATTATTTGTAGGGGAGAATGTGATAAGATAATAGTCTTACTAAAACTAACCTATAAAGTTAATCATATATACTCTTATCTAATATACTGTAGCTCTGTACTTCCATATATTATAACATGTGTATACTAATAATTATGTTTATTAAAGCCTACTTTACTAAGGTTCTCTCGTCTAATTATTATACAACACCATGATTATATGTATAAATAATAATAATAATGATGAAAAAAAATTATTTTATTTTATTTTTAAATATAAATTATATTTAATGGGATTAAATAAATTGATTATTTTAAATCAACAGTAGGCGGAATTGAGTAAAAACGACAAACTTAGTATAACTTTGATACTTTAGAGTTAAATTATACACTTCCGTACAAACAGCACGGGGTCCGCGATCTACCGCAGGTAGATTGCTTACCTGATAATGTACTGCTGCCATTTTCAGAATTTGTATTCCGGGCAACCGAAAAGATAAGATAAATTTTGAACACTATACACCGAATATTGAATACCTAACGAATTGAACAAAGTTTGAGTCATATTGAGTTGATACACTTAACGGGCGACGAAGTGCACGGGATCAGCTAGTAAGGTATAAGTGCAGGGGCGGAGTGGCCGGTCTGGAAATGGGAATTTTCCAGATGGCCTGGTGGCCCGGCCATTTTGTTAGATTTTTTTTAAATTTAATTTAATTTACAAAATATTAGTTAATGCTATATGCGTCAAAAATTTGTTTCTATTAAATTATTGTATTGCAAATACTATTAATGCAATAATAGTACATTGGGATAGCCTCGTACAATTGTATACTCTTATGATAAGGCTTTGGATATAAAATTACAAAATATTTGGTACATAAATATAGACATAAAATAAAATCAAAGCAATATAATATTGATATAGGTCGGTTATTTTTATAATAAAACACCCATTTTAAACATTGAAGTATTTAAAATACAGGCTGAGAAACTCAATGACCAATGATTATCTTGAGTCTTTTATGCTAATGGCCATTGAAAATAAAATTCTCATGGAAATAGATAACAATATTATCATAAATGATGCAGTTGGTGAGAAATCTAAGCTATTATCTAAATTATGACTATGAATGTATAAATCTTTTTTATTATATATTGTTTACAATGTATGTATTTATCTATTACTTATTACCTTATATCTACTAAACCTAAACAATTAAAACACAATGTGTCAATGTTTAATATAATTATTAATATTTCGTTGATTTCAACTATTAAACCATACCTACTAATTTTATTTTTCAGACTTTCAGGTATAAGTACTTAGTGGTATATTAATGTAATGTGTTAGAAGACAGAAGTTAAAAGAAATAGCAAGATAGTGATTGAAATACTTTTAAAATACTATAAGTAGTTTTGAAATAGGTAAATAGAAAAACCAAATTCGAGCTTAGAGAGAAAAAAAATGTCGGTGGGTGGCCTGGATAAATTTTAAACTCCCGGCCTGGATTTGGTTCCCACTGTATAAGTGGGCCCTGTATAAGTGTATAACCCCTTTTTAGAAAAGTTGTTATTATTTTTAAATACATATAATAAATACATAGCTTCAATGTTAGCTAGAGTGAATCGACCAACTATTAAACTTTGAAGGCATCTTAATGCAAGTTATGGGTAATGTAAGATAGTACAATTATTTTAATATGCTCATATATCGCAGAGAAATTTAAATACTGTAAAAAAAAAAACAAATATACACACATGGGCAATATTTTTAACTTTAAATTTGATAATAGGACAAATTTACACTATTAACATAAGGTATCTAATAAAAACACAACAGTACAATAAATTATTTGTTAAAATCAATTTTATTTAGACAAGGAATATAATATTTATAAATTTAAACTCCTTTTCTCAACAATACTTATATAGGATAACCTTGTACCATTACACTAGTTCCTGGCAAAGTATTTGTCATTAAACGACTCACAAAACTCTAAAAAAAAAAATACATATGATTTCATCAAAACTGTTATTTATGGGTAAAAATCTTAAGGCGCCCCCTTCTAAAAATTGTAAGGTAGTCATTTTGCAATTTATCAAAAACATGTTACTGTAACAAATGCAAGTAACAAACAGCTAATCTCAAAAACTACTAGACCAATTTTAATTAAAGTTATATTAATAGATTCCTATCTGTTGATAGGGGGAAAGTTTTTAGCATATTTATTCAACCCATATAAATGCTGCTATAGATTGGCTTACACAGGAATTTTGTTTAGGCAAATGAAAATTGAATAATTTTTTATTTATATAAATGTTAATCATTGGATACAGATTATATATTATTATATTAGAAATATGTCTTATTATTTAATTATTTTTGTATAATATATAACCCGTTTCACACGGAAAGCATACCTATTGAGCCAATGCTCACAACTTATTTATATTAATTTTATTTTGTAAAGTATCTTTAAAAATATTCAATATTTATTGATTAACCAATTGTAACTATCACAATTTATAATTGTTGTTATAACTAATAAAATATTATAACAATTGAAACCAAATACATACTTTTTTGTCATTTTCGGTAGCATACGCAATACACATTGATTTTGTAGTGTGCGCACTCAAAATTTCACAACAATCTTTGTTTTTATATAATACCAGAGCACCTGCAAGTTTTTCATTACAGTTTTTTAATATTGGTGAATCTGAAAAATAAAATGCTTACATTAAGGAATATAGATATATCAAACAAAAAAAATTAGTTATAATAGATAACTAACGTATAAAATCTTCATTAAAACATTTAGTAATTGCAATTGTAGGGCAAGAAGAATTAAGAAGTTGTCTAGACATTTCTCTAGCTAGGTTTGTCTTAATCAGATGTTCACCACAACCAGATGTTGTTACTGCCATTGCAACGTCATCAGACATATTTTGGGCCCAACATCCTGATCCCAATAAAGCAGCCTAAAAAAATTATTATAATGACACATTAAATACAATATATTTTAAATAGGTTCTTTACAAAGCACAATAGATCTATACCATAGTTTCTATAGTAGTACAGTATATTGTGTAACAAGTGCTGGAAGTGTACTATTTCAGTCGGGGGTGACATTTGTGGCATGGGGGCTGCAGATTTTAATTTACCTAGGACCGAATTAGGCAACCAAAAAATTAATCATTATCATAAATTTCATAAATTTGTAATACATCTTTTAACGTATAACTTATAAAACTGTTGGATACGAGGGGGGTGAAAGCCCTTTCGCCCCCCCCCCACCCTTGGGCTGCCTTTTTAACGTTATTTTCTATTATAATATTTGGCTATAACAAAAGACAATTTAGTTTTTGAAAATTCGCCCCCCCCCTTGGGTGACTTCTGGATCCGCTACTGTTATAAAGTTATAAGAAATTACTTCACCAGAGGAATATAAATACAATTTGAATTCTACAATTTATAAGTTAAGGACCAGAGGAAGCTGTTCTGCTGTAATATAGTATATTTTGAGTGCAACGAGATGCACTCGAAATGTAGGTCACTGTTAATGCAGGAGCATAGCCACAAGGGTGTTTTACTGTTTTGTATGTTAGTATTTTTTTGAATTACAACATAATAACTTAAATTGTAGAAGGATACATCATTTGTATTACCTATTAACACTCATAAAATATTTATACATCTTCAAGCTAATTTTTTTTTTATATTTCTGTAAAAAACTTATGTGAAATCTTGTATTAAACTTTCAAGCTTCAGGTATGAAAATTAAAAATGGTATGCATTCTCAAATTCAGAACGATATATACAATGTTTTGTAAGTTTTATACAAATTTTGTCGAAATTGAACTTTAAACTCTTAATAGAAAAAAATTGTGAAAAATATAAAAAATATTAAATGCAAATTTTGAATAATACATTTACTCCAATACAATCTATATTGGGCCAAGCAAAAAACATAAATAAATAAATAAATAATTGTTATTATAAAAATATTAATACAATTTACTTGTCCAACGCGGCCATCTTGTTTCAATAAAATTCCACCACTAGAAGATGATGCAGCAACATTTCCCAACTTATCCATACCAACACAACCTACAGTATCTAATCTAGAGTTTCCAGCCTATAAAACGAAATAATACTTTTCAGTAAAAAAAAAAATACTGATATATATATTAATTTAAAGTTACTTGACAATTACTGTACTTTTGATTGATAACTTTATATTTATTGCGAACAAAGTCTTTTTTTGATTTTTCTAAAACAATATAACAATATACTCATAAAACACACAACATATAGAATGAAAAATGGTTGAAAAAATCACTGTACCTGATATTAAATTAAATGGGTCAACAGTTACAATATTATTTGCTATTGCATATTCATGAGCTCCGAGACCAACAAGTAAACTAAATTGAGAAAAATATATTTTAATTGAGCCAGATAATACAAATATTAGAGTCCAGACAGAAGATCTTAAATTCACGGTGTAACATCTTACCGAATGTAAGCTATTTAACGCACCACCCCTTAAGAAATAAAAAAATGGAAAATGAACCACAGATTAATAATACAACTCCATACATGTACAGACAACAAAATAATAAATCAATGAAAACCTGATGAATGGTATAGTACAAACTCTACTGCAGAAAAATGGTTATCTATTTTTCAAGTAATTTATGGAAAATAACATTGATTTTACTGTTATTAAAATAAGTGGAATTTTTATTTGTATAACCTAGATCTAAAACTGCAGTTAAAAGAATATTTTTTTAATAAATAGCGGCTAGACAAAATCATGGAACAAATTACTAAATTAAGTGTCAATACTGTAGAAGCAACTTTAGTCATTTAAACAGTTATGGAAAATAAACAGTCATCATTTTTACGAAGACATTGTGAATATCAAAGATCACGAAACCGCAAAAAAATCAACAAAAAATTTGACAACTAGAGAGTCGAAAATGGTGAAAAAGTTTTAATGATGCGCATTGCGATTTATTTTATAATAATATTGGTAAAGAAATCACATAAAATTGAATTAAAAAAAGTTAATTATGTTTATAAATTTGTATCAGATTTAACACTTTCTAATAACATATAAAAAGTAATTATTAAAGTTTTGTGAATTGAAATTATACTTATTATACCTACTACTTATTTTTAAGTAAATATAATGTATGAAATGCAGTTTAAAAATTATGAATAGCAATAATATGCCTAATAAATATTATTATGAATTTATGATTTGACAATTTTATTTTTAATTGGAGTCCTGGTTTTCCATTTCAAGCAAATGGCAACCCTTCTATGGTAGTATAGTAGTATTTAAATAAACGTGATTACAATAAGGGAATCTATTGCATATAATATTATAAATAGCTATATAAATGTTAGTTAAAGTGTAAATCACTGATAAAGATATTGTCCATGCTCTGTGGTGAAAATATACTATACTTTTTAAATTTAAAAAAGTTAATACTTAGTAAAAATTAAGATAATCTATTTTTACGAATGATTATATACCATGGAGGAATTCTTCCAAATGACATTTTTAAATTTTGATTTTCACAAATGAGTTTGGCAAGAGCGATTGGATTTTTGATACCAGAAACAGCACCAACACCTCCATAATGCATATTTGATCCATCTATAATACTTGCATCACATTCCACAGCACCATTCCACGTTAAATTAGATCCATAACCAGCATTAGTTAGTGGAGAATCTTCTAAAACCATAGTGGCTACTGCAACTGCATCTAGGGCCGATCCATTATTTTTTAGTACTTCCAATCCCTAAACAATAACATTTTTTAAAAACTTATTTCAATTAAGTAATAATAGTAACCAACTTTTTTACAAGCTTTCATGCATATTTTTTTATAATTCGCTTCTTTAGTTGCTTTTTGATATCCCGCACCTAATTAAAAATAGATATAAATCAATTTACACATATTAGTTTTCAATCTAAAGAGTATCAGAAAATTATTTGATTAAAAAAAACCTATTGGATACAAAGACTACCGTTGTTTTACTTGGTTACATTAGTGTAACTTATGATATCTTACCTGCGTGAACAGCAATTACACATTCCATGCTACTTTAATTTCTCATTTGACAGTCTTAACATATTAAATTCTACATAGGTAACTTTTGAATTTCAACAATATTATTTTATAAGAATTTAAGATTTTAATACGTAATAATATAAGAATAATATTTAATATTTATTTTCATCATGGTTCAAACTCCAAGATAAATTATTATAAAATATACAATACAAATGCATAAAATTACGTATTAGTTCAGTGATTTTCTCATGTAGATGTAGTACCGTACAGATTATAGACTATACTTGATTAGTACTAGACTATAACCTAACCTAACCTTTTTTTTTTTTTTTATAGTGAGTACTGAGTATCTGAGACTGAAAGTTAAAATACTGTCTCCAGAGTCCTAACGCACGTCCTAACTACAGAGCACGATTTAAGATAGTACTATCTATCTAAATCGAGCTCCGGAAACCAGAGTTAGCACAAATACAAAACCATGTAACCATGCCACCATAGATAATCTGATAATGTACAACAGGTTATAACAATATTATCTATGGGTATGGTGGTGGTTTTAAATGTTATAACGTATTTGCGATTATAATATATGAATAAACGTTAAAAAGGTTATACAATATTATATAATACCATTTACTTAGTTTACTAAATTATAATTTAAGAATTTTTACAAGTAGATAGGTACTTATATTTTATTCCATAACAAGAAATGAGAAATACTTCAGTTAAAAATCTTATGATTATCAATCATCGAGTATTATTATACGACAACAGTTTTATTCATTTTAAACATTAATTTATTATGTTTTAACTAATTTTGACAACTTTTTTTTTGTTTTGTTTAGTTTTTTAATAGCTTAGTTTTGCATATAACTATATTGCCTCATGCGTATAGTTATGTAGTAGGAAAACATATTTGTTAGCATATCCGTTTGATGTTGACGAATGGTACATGGAAATTTATCGATAGATGGCGCCAGTCAGTAGTTCCAGAGCTGATATAGGGATTCAGTTAGACGGTCTCCTTATCACAATTCGATGTGTAACCAGTATCTTAATCGTGATTGATATACATATATTGTAGTAGCTGAATAACCCGGCGTTGCCCGAGAAAAAATTTCTGATGAATTAAATCCTTTTAGGTGTAATTTGCTGTGGTCGCTGTGCATGTGGAAGCAAAATCATATTATACTTTAATATTTAGTCATCCCGCTTGTAGTTGCCTGTGAGTGTCGCTTATGGTTATGCGAACAGTCTATTGTCAGGTAAGCAATCTACCTGCGTTGGATTTCAGACACAGTGAAGTGGATGATAAAAAATATGAAGGTAGGAAAAAAAAAAAGTTAGATAATCTTATAAGGAATCTTGTACCTATTACGTTTTAAAAAGAAAAATATTTACGATTTCTTAACTCAAAATAATTTGCTTATTTTCGTGATTTTTCCGTATTTTGTCAATTTTTGAACTTTAAATGCTTATAAAAAAAAAACTGTGACTAAGGATTTTTAATATTTTTCATCTGCCTTTGAAAAAATATACTAGGAGCCTTGTATTAAATTTTCAAGCTTTTTAACCAACAAATAAAATTTTATTGATATTTTTAGAAAAAAACTAAAAAAAATGGAAAATGAAAATGTGCGATGTGCCTTAACAGTTCAAAATAAACCAAAACATTTTGAAAATGTTATCGTGTATAGAAAATGCTAATATAAACATTCAGTCAAAATTTCATGAACCTACGGTAATTTGTTTAAGAGTTGCACCAAAAACCAAAATCGATTTTTTCGAAAAAAGATTTTAGTGTAAAAATTCCCTTTTTTCCTTAATTTTTATTTTGTTTTTCACGCCGCTTTTGATAACTACTGGGAAATTTTAAATTTTGACCTCCTCAATGCACCAACGATATCCACTTTCCAATCGAACAAGATATTGAAGTTGAAAACACATATCATTGTAAAATAAATACATTCATCGTTCCACTCAGAATCTAAAATGTCAGTTGTTGTCAATTATATTATTAATTTTATATTTTTATAATAATAGCAATAGTATTCTATAGTAATGATGTGTTTTTAAATTTTTTTTTTTTGTGCGTTCGTCATCGCCTTTTAGGGCAGTAAAAATGGTTTGATTTTCAACTTCAGTTTCTTGTTCGATGGGAAAGTGAATTTAGTAGGTGAAATTAAGGATGTCAACATTTAAAATTCCTAGTAGTTATCATAAGCAAGGAAAAAATAACCAAGGAAAATCGGAAAATCGGTTTTCAACAAAATCGTTTTCATTTTTAAATTTTTAAAAAATATATTAATAATTTTCCAAATATGATAATAAACAAATAATAATAATTTAACCTGCTACCATATTAATAATAACAAGGTGCTATAAAATATCTTAGGCTGACAAACCGTCTTTCTGGTTAATAGGTAAAGTATGTACATTATACATAAATAGGTGTAAATCTTGTACTGTCCCAAAGGGCGATGACAGACACACAAATAAAAAATAAAAAACACATCTTTACTATAGAATACCATTGCTATTATTATAAAATTAATAATATAATTGACAACTGAAATTTTTAAATAAATAAATTGGATTTTTTTTCCTAAACTTTAATTTTATGACCAACTATGTTCAAAATAAAAATAATATTTTATAATTTGGAAAATTCATGCTTTTCACATGGACAACTTATATGGCCTGCTCACTCGTCGGAAAACCTTCTGATTTATTTGTGTACGCACTCGAAGGAAAAACAAAAAATATTGTGTATCCAAATGCACTTCAATAAATTAAAAACTTTAACTGTAAGAATTTCCTCAATAAAACAAATAAAAATACATAATGAACCTAAATAAATTGAATATTGTAGTAACGATATTAGTATATTTTAACCATTATTTCGGGTGATTTACACTAAAATACGGATAGCTTCTACAGCGAGTAACAGTGTAACACTCGAAAGGAGTTGTGGCAACGTCAGGTAATTAATTACTTATAAAATAAAACATATTATTCATATAGAGTTGGCATTTAAATTTTTTTTCGTGTCAGGCATGATTATAAGTATAAATAATAAAAAAAATACTTAAGTTTAAAATGAGGGGTGGAAATCCAAAATGTGCTATTGCCAAAATTGACAAAACCATAAGAAACAAATAACAATATCTAACTCATATCGATTCTTGTTGAAAAAATATCGATTGGCGTCATCAGAATAGATCAAAATGTACAATTTCCTGAATTCCTATTTTCAGAAAATAAAAGCCGATATCATTTGCACAATAGATATTAACTAACCGAATCACAATCATACTTTTATAAAAGAATATTGCTGACAATTTTACATGTATATTTTCCCAATTATTTTCGTAAACATGATAGTCGTCGTGAATTATCGCTCGCGAAGAGCAGTTGTATTATATCATACCTATAGGTACTATTGTCAGTTTGCAAGTTGCGACCAACTTCCAATCACCGCGTAAATAAAAATTAATAAACCTTAGATCTATATTATTACAACTAAAATAAACCTACAAGTTACGGTCCACAAAGTAACAAATATCATATAATATAATTACTATTTTTGAATTATTAGATTTTTTTCTTATATTATTTTGGATGGACGCCGCTTGCACAACGGCCTCTCGACCTAGTGAGGCGATCGGGCACGTCTCTTTTAGAAAATTTATTAAACCCTCAATTATTCACAAGTATTGCTGTATTGGTGAACGGTGGTTGCCGCTTGCACCACGGCCCCTAGTGAGGCAACCGAGCACGACTCTTTTAGAAACCTCATTGATTAAATATTCAATCAAGACCTATAAATCCGAATCACTTATGATTTATATTTTGTAAACACTAAACGGGATGATGCGAACAAAAATAGGAAATTTAAGAGACAGTGAAGTAACAAAACATTGTGCAAATACTAATGTACAAAACGTGTGGTTTACATAGGCGCACATAGGGGGGTGCTTAGCACCCCCAAGCTTCAAACTAGCACCCTCAGTTTATTTCAGTATTTCACCAATCATTTATAAGCTATCGTGGTTTATTGGTTCGGAATTTTTCTTTTCATTACAAATATTGACAACTGTTTACGAATTCACGAATTCATATTTTTTTTTTTGTCTGTCATCATCCTTTAGGACAGTAAAAGTGCTTGGATTTTCTTCAACAGTATCTTTTCTGATAAGAAAGTGAATCTAGTTGGTACTTTGGGGGGGGTCAAAAGCAAAAATTTCACAGTAGTTTTCAAAAGCGCCGTGAAAAACAAAAGAAAAATTAAGGAAAAACGGGAATTTTTACGCAAAATCTGTTTTCGGGAAAATTGATTTTGGTTTTTAGTGTAACTTTAAAACAAATGACCGTAGATATATGAAATTTTCACTGGTTATTTATATTTCCATTTTCTATACATTATAAAATGTTCTAAATATTTTGAGTTATTTTGAGCTTTTTACGGACATTTTTAGTTTCCATTTTTTTAGTTTTTTTTTCTATAAGTATCAATACAATTTTATATGTTGGGTATAAAAGCTTAAACATTTAATAGAAGGCTCCTAATATATTGTTTCAAAGACAGATGAAAAATATTAAAAATCCTTAGTCACAGTTTTTTGTTATACGCATTTAAATTCCAAATATTGACAAAATACGTGAAAATGACGAAAATTTGTAAAGTATTTCGTGTTAGAAATTCATAAAAATTTTTCTTTTTAAATCTAAGATATGAAAATGTAATGCAAGATTCCTCATAAGTTTGTCTACCTTTATCAAAAAAAAATGTCTACAAGAATCTCAAATTAAATTTTTATGAACGTTTGAAGTTCATATTTTTACAACATTTGATATTCACTCGATTTCTCATGTAACGATTTTCTAATTTTGTTGTAATTAAAAAACGAATGACTGTAGATACTTGAAAATTTTACTACATTTTTATATTATAATTTCCTATACACCATATAGTTTTCAAAATATTTTGATTCTTTTTGAGCTATTTACGGACATTTTCAGTTT